ACAGGAAAGAAAGAAAAGACCAAAATGGATGTCAGAAGAGACTGTGAAACTTGCTCTTGAATGTCAAGTAGCTCATGTGAAAGTAAGAAATGATGAAGTAAGAGAGTTAAACAGAAGATTTCAAAGGGCTGCTCGAGAAAACAAAGTATTATAATGACATGTGCAAAGACCTGGAGATGGAAAACCAAAAGGGAAGAACACACTCTGCATTTCTTAAGCTGAAAGAACTGAAGAAAAAATTCAAGCCTTGAGTCGCAGTAGTGAAGGATTCTACAGGGAAAATATTAAACGAGGAAGGAAGCATCAAAAGAAGATGGAAGAAATACACAGAGTCGCTATACCAAAAGAATTGGTCGACATTCAACCATTTCAGGAGGTACCATATAAGCAGGAACCAATGCTACTGAAGGAAGAAGTCCAAGCTGCACTGAAGGTATTGGTGGAAAACAAGGCTCCAGGAATTGATGGGATGCCAATTAAGGTGTTTCAACAAATGGATGCAGCGCTGGAAGTACTCACTTGTCTATGCCAAGAAGTTTGGAAGACAGCTATCTGGCCAACCAACTGGAAGAGATCCATATTTATGCCTATTCCCAAGAAAGGTGATCCTACTGAATGTGGAAATTATCAAACAATATCATTAGCATCACACACAAGTAAAATTTTTGCTGAAGATCATTCAAAAGCGGCTGCAGCAGTACATCAACAGGGAACTGCCAAAAATTCAAGCCGGATTCAGAAGAGGACATGGAACCAGGGATATCATTGCTGATGTCGGATGGATGTTGGCTGAAAGCAGAGAATACCAAAAAGATGTTTACCTGTGTTTTATCGACTATGCAAAGGCATTCGACTGTGTGAATCATAACAAATTATGAATAACATTGTGAAGTATGGGAATTCTTAACTGTGCTCATGAGGAACCTGTACATAGACCAAGATGCAGTCATTCAAACAGAACACAATACAGAAGAAAGCAAGAGGTCATTAAAAAGACAGGAAAGAAAGACAAGACCAAAATGGATGTCAGAAGAGACTGTGAAACTTGCTCTTGAATGTCAAGTAGCTCATGTGAAAGTAAGAAATGATGCAGTGAATGATGAAGTAAGGAGACACTGAGTAGTTTAAAATTAGGAAACGTGTGTGTCAGGGTTATATCCCTTCCCCATACTTATTCAATCTGTATGCTGACCAAATAATCCAAGATGCTAGACTACGTGAAGAAGACTGTGGCATCAGGACTGGAGAAAGCCTCATCGACAACTTGCAATATGCAACTGACACAAGCTTGCGAGCTGAAAGTGAAGAGCACTTGAAGCACTTACTGATGAGGATCAAAGATTACAGCTTTCAGTATGAATTACATTTTAACATACAGAAAACAAAAATCCTCCCAACTGGACCAATAAGCAACATCATGATAAATGGAGAAAAGATTGAAGCTGTCAAGGGTTTCATTTTACTTGGATCCACAGTCAACACGTATGGAAACGGCAGTCAAGAGATCAAATGATGCCTTGCATTGGGCAAATCTGCTGCAAAAGACCTTTTAAAGTGTTAAAAAGCAAAGTTGTCACTTTGAGGACTAAGGTGTGCCTGACCCAAGCCATGGTATTTTCAATCTCCTCCTATGCATGCAAAAGCTGGGCAATGAATAAGGAAGATGGAAGAATTGATGCCTTTGAATTATGGTGTTGGCTAAGAATATTGACCATACCATGGACTGCCAGAAGAACAAAAAAATCTGTCTTGGAAAAAGTACAGCCAGAATGTTTCTTAGAAGTGAGGGTGGTGAGACTTCATCTCACATACTTTGGACATGTGATCAGGAGGAACCAGTCCCTGAAGAAGGACATCATGCTCGGTAGAGTAGAGAGTAAGTGAAAAAGAGGAAGCCCCTCAAAGGGATAGATTGACTAGATTAACACAGTGGCTGCAACAATGGGCTCCAACATAGCAATGATTCTGAGGACGGCTCAGGATTGGGGAGAGTTTCATTCCGTAGGGTCGCTGTGATTCGGAATAGACTTGATGGCACCTAGCAGCAAGGAAATATGTTCCAGCTTCCCTGAAAATATTTGTTCTCATTTTTTCCTTATTTTAACCAGTTCAGTTATTCGTTTTCCATTTTGCAGTGTTGATACTCCCTTTTCTCAGATTAGCAATTCAAGATAAAAAGTACTGCCATTTTTATTTTAACTCTCTTTTTCGTGGAAATGCAGATTATTTTTCAAAGATTAAACTATTTCCCTCTCCATCACAAATGTGTAACTGATACAAGCCTGAAAACGCTAGATATTTTCTATGTCAGGACAAGGAACACTCTGGAGATTAAATCCTTACCAGCACAACAAGGGAGGAAATCACTGTAAAAAAAACAAAACAAAACAAAACCAAAAACCTGTTGCCGTCGAATTGATTCCGACCCTATAGGACAGAGTAGAACTGCCCTAGACCCAAGGAGAGGCTGGTGGATTCGAACTGCTGACGTTTTGGTTAGCAGCTGAACGCTTAACCACTGTGGCACCGGGGCTCCATAACTATAAATATTAAGGTTTTCTTTTTGTTTTTCTTATTTACAGACTGTCTGGAACTAACAAAACAGAACAACAAATTGGACTACTATAAATTCCCTGTTTTCTTTTTTTTTTTCAGAAGATAGTTGACTTTGGCGTCTTTCTCTTCCCCTCCCTGCCATGCACCTTTCTTTTGTTTCAATAATCTCCATAAACCAGTCAGATTTTTTGGACCATTAAACGTCCATAGTTTAATCAGTGAGCAGAAAACCCTTTCTCCCACGTTCAAATTTAAGGTAGTACAAGGAAACAGAGAGAAAGGAAAAATGTTAAGATTAGTTATTAGGATATTAAAATGACAGGCAATTAAAGTGCAGCTTGAAGTTTGAAAAGACAGGACGGAGAGCTTGCGAAGACCTACAAAGGAAATTGCTAGTGGCGTTTTCCCAAATCAAGATGTATGTTTATGTTACCACCACTATTGTCAGTATTATTTTGACAAGAGATCGTTCAAACCTCATTACATTTAAGGGCTTCTGTCTCCTCCTGCACTGGCGGGTCAGTGGCCGAATTCCCACCTTCCATGTGGGAGACGCGGGTTCGATTCCTGACCAATGCACCTCATGCGCAACCATCACTTGTCTGTCGTTGGTGGATTGTGTGCTGCTATGATGCTAACCAGGTTTTGGCAAAGCTTCCAGACTAACGTGGAGTAGGAAGAAAGGCCTGGCAATTCACACCTGAAAATCAGCCAGTGAAAACTCTATGGATCACAACAGTCCATGCCTGACTGATCATGGGCATGGTAAAGGACTGGGCAAAATTTCCTCTCATTGTGGATGAGGTCACTGTGAGTTGAGGGCCAACTCGAGAGCAGATAATAACAACAACATCTACATTTCTTCAGAGTAGCTGGGTGATGCAAACAGTTAACACACTTGGCTGCTAATCAAAAAACTGAAGGTTCAAGACCATCCAGAGGCACCTCAGAAGAAAGGCCTGGAGATCTACTTCCAAAAAATTAGCCTATGATACCCTTGGACAGCTATGGGGTCACCATGGGTTAGATAAACTCAAAGGCAACTAGTTTATCTCCTTCTGCAGTGTCCTCTGGACAAACAGGACATGATTTTAAAAGGTAAGAAAGACAATTTTATGGTTAACACCTAATGTAATTCAGTTCAACAAACTTTGTAGCCTTGTCCTGCATATTTTACTTAGAAATATTAGCCATTTACATAGATCCAGGACTCGTATCATCTGTGAAATTCTGGTTCCTTCAGCCCAGAAAGGCAGAATAACAAAGATAGAGTCACAAAGTAAGCTAGCAACCTGTACATGACTTCGTCATTTAAGTGCTATAAATGTTTGCTACATCCAGCTGTTTTCTTTTTCTTTGGCAAATGTTTTACCCCTATACATATAGATTATCAAAAGAACACCAACAAGTAGTTTTCCTGGCTTAAAAGAAAACAAAATGTTTTTGGTGCCAAAAAAACCCAAACCTTTTGCCATCCAGCCGATGTCAACTCATAGCAACCCTACAGGACAGAGTAGAATGACCCCATAGGGTTTCCAAGGAGCGGCTGGTGGATTCAAACTGCCGACCTTTTGGTTAGCAGCCAAACTCCTAACCACAGTGATCTTTATAAATACAGATTATCAGAAAAACACCAACAAGTAGTTTTCCTGGTTCGAAAGAAAGCAATATGTTTTTGGTGCCAAGGAGGAGGACAACCTTGTATATTTAATCACTTCAGCCTTACTTTGTCCTTTGGCGTGGTCTGCTCCCTGACTTTACTCCAGTAGTGGGTGCCTTGAAGTCGTAGACAAATTAAATCAACCACTTGTATCACGTGTGTCTCCAAGAATGCGGTGTCTCGGGTATGAGCGATCTATCAATTCCCTTCTCTCCTTTCACTTTGGCATGTTGACAGCCCAGGCAGATTTCCTAGGCAGATATTTTCTACCCCAATCACAGCAGCTCTTAAGAAGAGTTTCAGGACTGCCTGTGCACGGCGCACCTTTTCTGTCCCAAGGGGTTGGTGCATTTCTTAACGGCTGTACAAACATTCGTAATTATGCCTACAGGTAAGTACACTGCTGTCTTCTTGGAAAACTGAGAAGTACAAAGAATGTTTATATGCGTATCCAGCCGTTCCAAGT